TTTATATTGAGTCTTAATGGGTAATAATGATGACAGACACTGGGAGTTGGCAAATAAGCACTAGGTACAGAATATTTGAAAAAGAAAAGATATATATAATATATAAATATGTAATAGAAGCTGGGAACTAAAACTTTAACGTTTATGTATAAAACTTGACATTTTTCGTGGGGTAAGGGATATAGAGGTAAGGTTGTTGGTGTAGAGACAGTAATGAAGTAAAAGCTTTCAAAACGTCATGTCTTGAATGGGATTAGAATAACTTTTTTTTTTTAAAGATTTTATTTAGTTTTTGACAGAGAGAGACACAGCAAGAGGGAGAACACAAGCAGGGGGAGGGAGAGAGGGAAAAGCAGATTTCCCATTGAACAGGGAGCCTGAATCAGGGCTTGATCCCAGGACCCTGGAATCATGATCTGAGCTGAAGGCACAGTTGCTTAGTGACTGAGCCACCCAGGCACCCCTAGAATAGCTATTTTTTGACTTTAGGAGATTAATAGGTAAGTATATATTTATTTAGAACTATTTAATATGTCAATATAATTACTAATGAAATAGAGAGGCCTAGTAGAATATCCAAATTAAAGCAGTTGTGGTGGAAGAGATAGGAATTAAAAGAAAATTCGTTAACCAAGCATAAGGAAAAGTTAAAAAGAAGAAACAACAAATTATATACTTGAAATAAGGATGGAAGGAATATAATTACCAATATATTAGTTAATCATTAAATGTAAAAGGATCAAATTTCCCTATAAAAAACAAAGAATTTCATATTGCTTTTAAAAACAAAATCCAGCTTTATTTTGTTTTTAGGAAATATACAAAAATAAAGTGACAGTGTGTGATGCCTGGGTACTGCAGTCAGCTGACCATCTGACTCTTGATTTCAGCTCAGGTCATGATCTCATGATCATGAGATCAAGCCCCACAATGGGCTCTGTGCTGGGCATGGAGCCTGCTTAAGATTCTCCCTCTCCCTCTGTCCCTCCCTCTTTCTGTCTGTCTGTCTCTCCTTCTTTAAAGAAAGGAAAGAAGGAAGGAAGAAAGAAAGGAAGGAAGGAAGGAAGGAAGGAAGGAAGGAAGGGGTAAATAAATAAAGTGACAGTGTTATGGGTTGGAACATTTTCCCCCAAAACATTTGTTGAAGTACCTGTGAATATGACCTTATTTGGAAATAGATCTCTGCTGATGCATTCCACATGAAGTCATCTAGGGTACGCCCTAATACAATATGACTGGTGTCCTCTTAAGCAGAGGAGTGACACGGACACAAAGACTCGGGGGAACACCATAGGACAATGGAGGCAGAGACTGGAGTGGTGCGTCTATAAACCAAGGACTGCCAAGGATTGCCAGCACACCAGAAACTAAGAGAAAGGAATGGAACAGATTTGTCCTCTAGAACTTCCAGAGACAGAGCGCAGCTCTGCTGACACTTTGTTTTCAGACTTCTAGTCTCCAAATATCTGTTGTTTTAAATCATTTGGTTTATGATAATTTATTACAGCTGCCCTAGCAGACTAATATATAAAAAGACCAAAAAATAAATGGACGTATTAGGGAAACATGAGCCAAAAGAAAACCTTATCAGTAAAGGATCAAAGTAGTAGACAAAGCAGAATTCAAAGCTAAAAATAGTAAATGAAATATTGTATAAATGTAAAAGTTACAGTTCTCCAGGAGGTTACAGAGAGTCGGCATTGAAAAGGCCACAGACTGAAGAGACTACGCTCTATGGCCTGATGTTCTAGAACCTGGCTATAGTTCCTGGCTCTGTTATTAAATGGCTCTGTGACTTTAGAGAGATTGCTTAACTTTTCTATGCCTCATTTTCCATATCTATAAAATGAGAATAATAATAATACTTCATTTATAGGGCAATTATAAGGAATAAATGAAATTATATATGTAAAATTAATATTGTAAAATGACTTAATATATTTAAATGCATATATGTATTAATGTATGGTTGAAACAACAGCTGTCAGAAACACCAGAAAGTATTAGCTATTATTCTTTCTCCTACTGTTAATATAAAATGCTATATAAAAACCAACCAAACAACATGGGGTATAAAACCAAACCTCAAGAAAAGAAAAACTTTATAAAGTCACTATCATTGTAAAAGATTTTTAAATAATCTCTTACAGAATTTGACATAATTTTCCACAAAAAAGCAAGACTAGAGAGGACTGTGTAATACAATCAACAAGGTAAAACACACATTCTGTTCTATGTGAAAAGAGGAAATGTATTCTATTTTTCATTTAAAAAATCTGATTATTATGGAACCAAAGGAAACTCTTTCTCTTTTTTTAAAAGATTTTATTTATTTATTTGACAGAGATAGAGAGAGAGACAGTGAGAGAGAAAACACAAGCAGGGGGAGTGGAAAAGGGAGAAAGCTTCCTGCTGAGGAAGGAGCCCTATGTGGGGCTTGATCCCAGGACCTTGGGCCAAAGGCAGATAATTAACAACTGAGCCATCCAGGTGCCCCCCCAATAGAAACTCTTAATAAGTTCCTCAAAAAAGATTTTTATAATCCTTATTATCTCTCCATGATCAAAGAAAACTAGAAATCAAAAAATAAAAAGGCCAATCACAATGTAACCATTTAAATATTAAGATATTTACTTTCAAACAATTTCAGGAAATGAACTACTCTTCTCTGCAACAATGGGGTATATGACAGTCAAGTGGCTGAGTCCTACTCGGTTGCACTGACAAAGAATGGCCATGACCGAGTGGATTTAAACCAAGGTGGTACTATCTCCTTAGGGAAGATTTAGAAATGTATAACTAGACATAGAGCTGTAACAAAGACTGAGGAATGCTATTGGCATTTAGGGTTTGGGGGTCAAGAACACTCAAGTTCTACAAAGCTCAGAATACTCTTACACAATGTAGAACTTTCATAGTCAAAGTGCCAGTAAAGCTCCCATTTATAAACACTCTTTAAACAGTGACTACAGGGCAAAGACGCCATAGATGCTTAAGATATTTCTATTTGAAATGAAGTTAGTATCACCATGGTAAAAAAAAAAAGTCTATAAAACTAGCAGACAATTCAATGTTCAGTTTTTCACGGCAAGAACCAAATTCAAGAACTTTCTTTGCTTTTGACGATAATCTGAGAGCATGCAGGGCTCTGTTTAGAGATTGATGCAGAAACTTTTTTTTTTTTTAACTAAGGCTCAAAAAAGGAATTCATATTTATCCACAGAATAGGTAGATAATGGATAAATAAGTACATACAGAACTGTAATTCAATTTAATTTGTTATTTAGCTTTTATTAGCTAAGTCAAATTCCAAGCAAATCAAACTTGAGTCATTTACCAGAAGCATCGGTGCTTCTGGTAACTATGTTTTTTGCATATTCGCAGGTAAAAAAAAAAAAAAATCAACAGTGTCCCTTCTTAGTATTTCTGATGGTACTAAGGTAAAATGCAATGTCCTACCATGGATAGCATGTGGGGACAAGCATCTGCCGTTGGCTCAGGTCCTGATCTCCAGATCCTGAGATCCGGCCCCCACATCGGGCCCTGCTCAGCGGGAGAGTCTGCTTTTCCCTCTCCCTTTCCCTCTCTCTCTCTCAATCCCCCTCTGCCCATCCTCACTGCTCATTCTCTCTCTCTCTCTTTCAAAAAAAAAAATCTTAAAAAAAAATAAAATTGGGATAATAGTATTTGCCTTACTTGTCTAAAATGTCAGGATGCAGAGTAACTATGAAGTCTCTACAATGGCCTGCCAATCTGTTCTGGAACTTGCCCTCTTGCTCCCTCTCTCACCTATTTCCAGCTACATTTTCCCTCCCTTACTCTGCTACAGCCACTATGGTTTCCCTGCTGTTCCCTGACTATTAACCTAAGGTCACAGCACTGACCATTCCCCTGTGAGAATGCTCTGTCTCCGAGAGCTTCAGGCTCACTCTCTCACTTTCTTACTTCCATCAAGTCTCAGTTCTAATGCCACTTTCATCAGAGAGGGGTAGCCATACACCATCCTATGAAACTTTCTCTTTATTTATACTTTGGTGTAGCGATGCTCTACAGTGTAACATCTCATATTCTAGTTTGCTTATTGTCTATCTCTTCTCTGCTACAAAGTAATCTCAAGGAATGCATGAAATTCTTTTATCTTTTCCTTTTGAATACTATTATAATAAATTAGTTTTTCTGAATCCCTCTATATAAAAATTTAGCAGTATATTTTGTCAGAAAGTTTATATCTTTACTTTTCACTAATTATCATGAAATTATATTAATATTATTTTATTTTTTATGACATAACATATACTTCCAGACACATAATCATAATGATTTAGCATAGTATGGGAAGTTACATTTTTAACATCTCTAGTATGTCATTTGCCTGTCTTAGTTATCCCAGCATTCAAATATTCAAAGCATGTATTAATTTTGCATACTCTTTCCCTGAAAAGATAGTACATGCCCTCTCTTTTGAGTGAATAGTTTTTCTTCCCTAAAAGCAACACATTATATTTCATAACTTTAATATGTTACAAACCAGGTGGGCCTAAAACATGTTACTTGCCCTGAGAATAGTTTTCAAATTTTTTTTTTTTAAGATTTTATTTATTTATTTGAGAGAGAGCGAGAATGAGAGAGAAAGAGAGAGAGAGCATGAGAAGGGGGAGGGTCAGAGAGAGAAGCAGACTCCCTGCTGAGCAGGGAGTCAGATACGGGATTCGATTCTGGGACTCCAGGATCATGACCTGAACCGAAGGCAGTCCCTTTACCAACAGAGCCACCCAGGCGCCCCTCAAATCGGGTTTTTGTTGGTCATGCTTGTGTCTGTCTCCCTACTGCAACGTAGTATGACACAAAGCTGAGTCCCTTTCTTATCCATTTTGTGTTTCTCTCATACTTTATACCTAACAGAAAATCCATAATTATTACTTTACTGAATATAGGCATTAGTGCAATGATAAGTAGCCCCTCCTCTCTTAAGCAGAAATAAAATAAGGAAGATTACTTACATTTAGAGCCTGATGAAGACGACCCACTGACGGTAGACCTCGATCCCCCTTTCATGGAAAAGACCCCTTTTCCCCTGCGAGTCGTCGTGACGGCCACTCTGGGACGCTTCAGTGGAATCACCGCACGGGGAGGCGGAGGCACACGGCCGTGGTAATCGAATAACCTTCACAAAACACAAGTGTGGCTGAGAGTTGGTTTATGCCTCCATGTTCTGTCAAATGTGTGAAATGATTAAGAAAATGGCCTTGTAAAAAAACGTCAATAAATGTTTTTGTTATGGTGGTTGTTATCACGCAGGTGCTTATTAGAAATAGGATTCTAACAGTCTATGCGTTCTGGACATTAGAATCTGGCTCTCCAATATGAACTCATCTTTAAAGTACGAAAGGACAGGGAATTTACTCCAGTGGTACCCTGCCATTTGTCGAAATCAAGCTGACCTTTCTTCCCAAGTATATTTCTTTGCTCAGTCTCACAGACTTATCCTTCCTAGGACAGAAATCTTCCTCTTACACATCAGCCCTTATTAGTGCACTAGTTTGAAAAGAGGAAGAGATCATGCCGAATCAGGAACAAGGCAAAGCGGATTATTGTTCCATCATAAAACAGCTCCTACGGAAAATCATTCTGAAGTGAGTCTAGATTAAAGAGAACAGCTGTGAGAGACAAATCAACATGGGGCCGCACCTCTAAGGACTTTTTAAGTAACAAAGGACTCCTCTGGCTGTAGAAAAAGGGAGACTGGATTTCAGTACAAAAGAGGATAAAATGTTGTTGACTAGAGTACCAGTGGAAATCACGATGTCTTTTATTATTCTGACCATTTGCTAGACATACGAACTGAGACTAGTGATATTTGTATAGTAAGGTATAGAAAATTTCCCTAACCGAGAAAAGTACCAATAAAAATTCTAGAAGCTTTTACTAAAAAGTGAAAAATGATAATCGCCACAATCAATGCATTGCCACTGAACAACGAAAGGAATAAAAGTATGAGAATATTTACTCATTTATATAAATATGTAATTCACAGATTCAGAAGCTTTCATATATTTCATACTGCATACTCATGAACAACACATTTTTGCATACTTAGCACATTTGAGAAGTAAAAAATCAGAGAGAAACTATGAGGATATATTTACTCACTCACTTTTTAAAAAACTATCTACCAGTGAACCAGATGTGTTATTATTTTATCCACTCTAAAGGGAATAGTGTTATTGACTTAGAATGATTACTGATACTACTTTATTGTGACATTATATATGGATTATATAGATTACATTCTCGTAACTGTTTTAAAACAGTCAATAAGAATAATCTAATATGAAAGTCAGAAGTTTCTATAATAGGAAAAAAGCAGTTTCTGTAATAGGTCATTTTATAAAGTTACATCTTATTTATGCATACAGATGAATCCCCTTTTGGAAACAATATATGAAATACAGTAAAAATTAAGATAGGCAGGTTTACAAATATTCATTCAGAAACACTCAAAACTATATACTATGGGGGTAAAAAAAAAAAAGGAGCATATAAACCACACTTGAAGCAGAACTTAGTACTGGGGCTGTCTCCTACATTAGAGAGCTAAAGTGTTCAAAAACTATTTGGAAGCATGCTGGGGAGAAACTAAGAGATGTCTGGAAAGGAAAAGAAATGAAATGAGACAGAGTTCAAGAGAGGTGCCATCCTCTGTGAATAAGCAAAGTCCATTAGAGCTGAAGAACTGCTAGCAAAGAACAGGTCATGGATGTCAACACATTATAGTTTCCTTCAAAGAGGATGGGCAGGATGAAGCTGAAAAGGGTTATGAATATCATCCATACCACTAGGGGCTGGAAACTCAAAAGGGTCAACGAAACCTGCTCCTCATTTCAATCACAAAACAAGGACTCCATTATTTATTTATAAGTTGAATTCACACAGCACCTTAAGCTAGTGAGCCAAAATACGAAGGCACTTTTTATGAGCTCGAACACCCAGAGCTATTGAGGGAAGCCAAAAAAATATGGCAATTGACTCATCTCTTACAGGGCAGATGCTGCTGCTTCAGAGGAAAGGCAAGTTCTTTTGGAGGAGCCATTCCCCCCGGGGCCACGAAAGTGCAATTTAGCTGGTTCATTAATTAAGCTAATCTATAAGTTGGGTTGAGAACATTTCTAAAGCACGAGTAAAATATACCACGATGGAGAAATGCTATAATGAAAACGCAGGCCAAGTAAAGCCACCTTACTCACCGCGACTTCAGTGACAATGTAGTTCAAGAATATTTTACAGGAAAGTGAAATGTTTCTCACCATTTCCTATTGCTACCCCAGCCAACAATTACAAAGCCTCCAGTGTCACGCAGGGCTCATTTTATGTTGAGAAAACAGCTGTGTTTGCTCATTGTATTTGTGACATGCTTTTGGTTTGCGACATGCTTTTGGTATGCGACATACATTTTCGTCACATACTCAGTATGTGTCATGCGTGTGCTCTGCTGTCAATTCCTATAGAGCGTAGCCCTTGTTCTCTGAATATTCTGGTGAGTTGCTTCGAAGGGCAATCACTCCTTTCTCATCAAGGAATCAAGGAAGGTTTTACCAATTCTTTCCGCCACTGTGTTGGGAAGATGTACAATATCAGAACTTAAGTTTTAAAAAGGTACATATAATTTACGAAAAAAAAAAACAACAACTAAAGAAGTGTATGGACACTTCACATGGCAGCATAATTTTGAATTTTATAAAATTTAATGAAGTTGAGGAGTTTCTTAATTTTCATTAGCTACACTTGAGTTTACCAGAAATAAAAGGAAGACTGGGTATTGTCCTAATGCACAAAAACGTAACAAGATAAGGATGGGGAATGGGGCCAGACTTTCTGGGATTTAAGGTAAGATGTAGGGTTCTTCTAAAAGCAGAGGGAAGTAAGTAAGAGGTAACTCATGAAAGGAGACACACCATTGGCTTTCTCATCAGAATTCTGTTTATAGAAAATTTAAGAAATTTTACCTTATAAGGTATTAGATCAGCAGAATTACTGAAACAAAGGAAATAGTCCATTTAAGATTACAGACAACAAAGATTATAATGCAAGTGAATTAAATGGAATCCAAATCTCAAAGGGCAATGAAAAGTTTAAAATTTCTTCCTTCTCATTTTTTGGGTTCCTTCCACTCTTAGAATTACATTCCCTCTCCTTTTCTTTAATGGTTCTTTATTTTCCCTAATATGGGTAGAATACTGTTTTCCCTCTAATATTTATTGGCTAATAGATAGTGATTTATAATGAAGCTAAACACAGAATTTCTTCCTTCCTCAGGGTCTACTTTAAAATAAGAACCCTAAAAGACCTATTCTCAAGAGTAAATAAAATAAATGTAGCCAGATTTTACTAAAAACAACCCAGTACAAAAATATGAGGATTTAATTCACTTTATTTAATAAATATTTCTACTTTTCAAGTGCTCATTTCTTGTTTGGAATTCTGTTTGCTTTAATAATGGCTGAGATATGTAATTTTATTACCTAGAAAAAGGTAAAATCTGGTAAACAATATTGATGTACTTGATAAAAATAAACATAGCTCGTCTCTATAAAGAATATGGATATTAGTTATTAAAAGTTAGCTGTATTTTGGACATAGACAATTTACTGGCATATTAACATATAAAATGAATATAATTTTGAATGCTTGTTTTTATTAAAAGCTTGTTAGTATTAAGCTCAATAATAATAAAGCAACATTTAAAAAAGACATAACTCCTAACCTCATACTCTAAAACAACTACTATGTGGGGCATGTGTTTGGCTCAATTGGTTAAATGTCTGCTCTGAATTTTGGCTCAGGTCGTGATCTCAGTGTTGTGAGATTGAGTCCTATGACAAGCTCTGCACGGGTGTGGAACCTGCCTAAGATTCTTTCACTCCCTCTCAATAAATAAATAAATAAATTAAATACATAAAAAGAAAAGATTACTATCATTTTCTAATCTTTTTTCCACAAGTATCCATATCTTTCACATAGTTGAGAACAAAGTATATGCATAATCACGTATTCCGGTTAATTCTCCTTGGTTTATATTAAAAACATTTCTCAAGCCTGCCAAATGGTCTTCTTAATGTTTATTTTAATTGCTATGGTGCATTTTCTCAAGCAGATATGCCATATTCTAATAATCATTACCTGATTGACTTTGACTTAATGCCTATTTTTCCACTGTCACCTAATGTGATTTTAAAATTAAAAAATTTTTAATGTAATGTTTGCATAATATTTTATCACTGAAGAATGAATTTTAATTTTAGATAAATTATTTAGATAAATAGATTTCAAGAATTGGTAATTACCTATTATTTTTTTCTAAATTTCCCTCATGAAAAGAGTTCTTCATTTTCCTTACTCATGAATCAAAAGCTACAGTCACCATGAGCTTAATGCTAACAAAAACATGTAGTCTGTGCTAGGGGCTAAAAAACTAGGCTGCCTACAGCCCAAACCTGAAAACAAGTTCATCTCACTGGGGCTTTGCAGCATATGTGAAGATCAGTAACCAGAGGATCAGAGATCTTCCTATGTATTGATTGAAACTTGAACCCTTCTCTTCAGCATGTTTATCTTCTGACAGATGCATAGTCTATAAAATCAAATTAAGGTGTCTATTCTTTTTTAAGAAGGAATATATTTGAAAACCACGTGAACGATTCTTATAGCCTACTCATTATATCTGTTTTTTACACTGCTTGAATAATTCAAAATTCACAAAATCTGTCTATAATTTCCACGCTGACTTCAAGTAAACTTTTGGTTTCAACTGAATTAGGAGATTTCAAAGGCACACTTAACTGGAGACCAGTAAATGAATAATTTCTATTGTTTTTTTTATTATTATTAAAATTTTCTAAGATTTTCAGTAAAGTTGTCTTCTTGGATCTTGTGCGGATATTTCTTGAACATGCTTTTAAAGGCAAGGTGATCGAAATCTTGAATGTCTTTTCTGCAATTTTTAAAAATTTTTATTATTTTTTAAAATTTCTTTTCAGTGTTTTTCTGCAATTTTTTGAATGCAATATAATGTTTACCATTTGTACAACTTTGCTATCTGCTATATTCGTATACAGCTTTGGTTAATGAAAAAGTCAGTACATTCAAATAGCAGTTTTAAAGTTATAAATCAGTAAAATGATTCTCTTATTAATTGCTTATAATTCTGTAATGCGGGTATTGTTAAGTCATTTTGCCCATGAAGACCCCCCCCAAAAAAAAAAAAGGATAATGTGATGTTGCCCAGGTCACTTAGCCAGGCAGCACAAGAACAGCTAGGCCTGATACTCATGTCCTCTGCCTCTAAATCATATACTCTTTGTCAAGTGTACCATCCTGTTATTTCCAAATGTTTTAAGTGGAATACTATTCTATTAGATGATTATTTAAACCTGCATAACGAAACACATACATTGCTTCTTGCTAATATGTTTTTCCAAGAGTCATGAATATATCTATGCTCTACTCTGTAATCAATGAAACAACTTCAACTTGATGTTAACTATAGCTCAAGTAGCTTCTCTTCTGTTAAGTTACTCAAGGTCAAAATTGTGCCAGAGTGGAACAATGCCCATTTCACATCATTTAATATGTATATATGTTTTCTATATGGTAAAGCACATCTGGCATTTCTTTTTCTCTATTAACAGAAGTTTACTTATACTGGGGGTTGTCAGCTGTTCAGTGCTGTTCTTGATACTACTGAAAAAAGATTGGATTAACACTGCTAATATCTCAGAAATTGAAAACATTCCCTGGGGGGATTCAATATAATTTTAGGTATTTATCTCCTTTTACTTTACTTGGAAGAATATAAATATTTATGTTTAGTTTTAATAACATGGAATGTCCTTCATTTAGAGTCAGACTTGACCTTTTAGAAGAAAATGCCATTTAATGCTGTAAATTATTGAATGGTGCCTTGCAAAATATAAAAAAGAGTTTAGAATAACCATTCAAGTCTATTATTTAGTGACACTCTTCATGATCCCTGAAACCATGACAGACACTAACTTAGTCTTCAGGAAAGGTACTGCTGGGCCTACATATCAACACAGTGACAACCATGGCACATTGTGTAAAGCAGTTTTCTAAGCTGAAACTATCTAAGGATTGAAATCCCCAATCACATTAGAATTCTCAAACCTGGCAGAAATAGGATGACCATAGGATATGGATATATGGCAGTGACTAAGCTATTATGCTCCGGGAGCAGGAGGGAAAACAATAAAAATAGAATAATCCAGAGGTGGCACAATGGACTATTTTGGAACAACTGGCCAACCAGTTGATTTCTCAGTCCCAGGGACAATGCTACATGAGTACCAGTATAAGAAATGCATTCAGCATCATTGTTAATAGCTACTGTTAGCTGTTATTGGTAGCTAACATTGATTATGCAGTAAAAATATACCAGGATAGAGCAAGCACAATGCGGATCATTATTTGTACGTTACTTCATTTAATCCTTAGAACAAACTTATGAGGCAGGAATTAATTTCTTGCTCACTTCATGAATGAGACAACACGTTTTGTGGTATTAAGTAACTCACCCAAGTTTGCACCACTAGTAAAAAGAGGAAAAAAAATTAACCATAAATTCAAGCAGAGTGTAATTTATGAGAAATTACTGTGGATAAAATGGTTAGCACTTTGTAGGCTATTTATATCGTCCAACCTCTCCATTCTGTTTTCCTTTCATGACAATCTATTTTCATAGGGAACTCCTGACTCTATCCATTAGTGATGGATGCTTACATCTTTTTTAACCAAGTGCAAAAAGTGGAAAAAAAAACCAGTAAGAGCACAGATTGTTCAGACTTTCTGTTAGCAAAACAACCATACTGACCTTTTGCGCCCTTATATGCCAAACAGATTTTATATAAGACAAAGAAGTGATTCGGGGGAATTGTTCAGAGTTGGTTTTTTTGGTGTAATGAAGAATCATCTGAAAACTTCAAGCTCTATAACTCTTTGGCAGGTAGGACAGATTTATCTATCATCTATTTATCTATCTATCATCTACCTAATCATGTTATTGAGCTATAATTTATATAGAAACTCCATTTTAGGTAGAAATTCTTTATTTTACTCATATTTTAAAAGTATTTAATTTATTTATTTGACAGAGAGGGAGAGAGAGTGCAAGCAGGGGTAGTGACAGACAGTGGGAGAAGCAGGCTCCCCGCTGAGGAAGGAGCTAATGTGGGGCTCAATCCCAGGGGCCTGGGATCGTGACCTGAGCTGAAGGCAGACACTTAATGGCTGAACCACCCAGGCGCCCCTATAAATTCTTTAAATGTAGAAGTAAATCCCAAGACAGAAAACACTTAAGAGACTACAATGCCCAAAGAGTTTCATATTGACAGACTAAAAGTGTATATTAATTGAAAACTTTACTCATAGCAATTATGACAGTGTTCTGTATTCTGAAAAAAAAAAAAAAAGCTGTATTAAAAAAATGTCTTTAGGGTGAGCCTGAAGGGTAGCCTGGGGTAGCCACCTTTGGTTGGGATCGAGCCCTGCATCGGGCTCCCTGCTCAGCAGGGTGTCTGTGTCTCCCTCTGTCCTTCAATCCACTTGCGCTCTCCTTCTCTCAAATAAGTAAATAAAATCTTTAAAAAATTTTTTTAGAATTGTCTAAAACTAAAATTTTCAAATAGTATGCAGACTATTTCAATGTTGTCTTTTCTTGATAGTAAATGGGATTATTTTATGCTGCCAGATCTTCAGATCATTTTTAGGACAAGTTATTACAAGCTATTTAATATTTACAATAAAATACTGTGTTTTTAGAAATTATAAAAATGATTTGAGAAAATTATGTTTTAAAATTTGTATTTAGTCATAAAGGCATAACTAATGGAACAACTTGCTTAACTGAGTAGTTGAACATAGCAGTGATGAACGTATGGTTGTGGTCTGATCATCCTTTTTTAGGTAAGGCTGTTTCCTTTCACTTAACTCATAGACTAATATGGCTCCCCTTCCGTTTTGCATATTCACACAGTTGGTTATTGAATCTAAATGAATAGTTTATAATTGTAGTTTGGTCATGAATTTACTCTATGACCTAAGGAAAACCAAAGTCTCTCTAAATCCAAAGAGATGAATTAAGAACACAAACTGAGTATCCACTATGTTTGAGACTTAATGATATTGCCTGAGGATACAAGAATACTCAGACCTAAGCATTTTCTCTGCATTCATGGAGGAAGAGAGGCAGACATAAATCAAATACTGTCATCACAAAGAAAGACAGCAGTAAAAAGCAGAAGTGCTGTGAAGGAACAATGCTGGGTACTGAGAGAGGGGAACAGAAGAAACTAATTTAGTCTGAAAGTGGTGCTCATGCAGAGATCTGAGGGAGGAAGGCAAGTTTAACTATGGCAGAGGGAGGAATGAGGAGAAGGAGCAGCATGGGAAAAGGTGCTGAAGGAGGAGGGTCTATCGTGTTCTTGTGGAGCTGGGAAAGGAGCCACACGGCTGGAGCAAACAGAATCACGCTCTCCCTGGGATCCTGAAGTTTCTCCCCTATTAAAAATGTCCATTATAAACTATTTTTCCAAGTTTGCATTTTTATAACTTGCGATCTTTTTGGTTGTTATTTGACTAGAACTCACAATTAAAAAGCTTAAAAGATCTTTATCTCATTTTTGTGTGTGTGGTCTAGTGATCTACAACAGTGGGCCCTTGATCTGTGTATCTCAGAATTTCAATTACCCGTGTTTAGTTAAATAACTCGGCTCCCCACAGCACAAATAGAATTTCAGTTGCCACGTATTAACTATGAGCAATTTCATCAAGCCCAAACTTGGCTACTGGTGTTTCAGCTCACTAAGCACTGTGCAAATAAGAGACACATCATGATCAGTGATCGGTCACGTCGCGTCATTCAAAGCCCGTCTGGTTGCCGTGCATCTGTCGCACACACAGACAGGAACTCTGCAGTTGTATTGTCTCCTTGTTGCCAATCATAAACCCACGTGGCCCTGGGTAGTAGTGGATAATCAAAAGAGGGAACTGGTCCACAAAAATGAAAGGGCAGCAAAGAAGAGAAGTGGAAGTGGAATAATATTAAATGGGATAGAACTGTAGGAGAAACAGCTGAGGAATGCCTACACTCTTCTACTAGAGAGACTCTAGACATCGAGCCAGAGGAACTTTGGAAAAGCAAACATATTGACATAAATGAGGAAGCCAGTTGTGAAGGGATAAAACAGGATGACGATGCCCCAGAAGAAGGGACACTGGAGAAAGAACCACACACTGAAGACCTCTCAGAGATAGTTCACAACGCTGATCTATTGAAGCTGGTCCAGCCTTCAAAAGGAGTCTGACGCCTCACCGAGGCGCAAGAGGGATGCTAGCTCCATATTGTATGTTGTACAAGAAGGCAGGCCCTGCTCAAACTACTTTTGGACAGGTCTTTTTACAAAGAGCTAAAAACAGGTTAATTCTGAATATTTTTACTGTTTCAAATTATAGTGTGCTTAAAACAACTTTACTGCATTTCCCTATTATTTATAACCAACAGTAAGAGAGTTTTTAATGTTTTTACAAACACTTTTAGAGGTGGTGGAAAAATTCTATTTTTCCACTGGTTGTTAACATCACTTTCCATGGTTTCCTTTATGATCCAACACCACTGTGCAAATCAAGAACTGCCCGTAGTTTTTAACTGAATCTAACCAATCTAACCAACTAACATTGCAACGTGTCATATTGAAAACATGTATTTTAGAAGGTTGGAGTCATTTTCTGAGTTTAGAAAACTCTCAGTTGTGAAGAATCCTAAGTCAACAACAGACCTGGAAAACAATATTGGTTCATTAGATTTTTGGAATGTTATTCCAATATTCTATAACCGAACTTTTGGCTCAAGAACCACCAGAGTCCTAAAAAGTCCAAGATGTACTATGCTTTAGTAAGCACAATGAAAATAAGAAAATATGTCTACATTTTATTTTTTGGGACTGAGTAAAGAATTTTCTGTACTTTAAACATCTAGTAAGAATACCTAGGAGTGCAATATACAAAACAGTTAAAAGAATTTAAATTAAAGGGTAACAAGAATGAAAAACTAACATACCGATTGTAGAAATCTTCTCTGTAGTAATCATAGTCAAAGACATAACCACTAAGGAGGGAAACAAAAAATTAGTTGACAATTGTTCAACCATACTAATTTTGGTATTAAGTTATGAGGTTATAACAAGAAACTTATGTTACTTTTAAAATATTTATTTTTCAGTGTAATTATGTATCCAAAGAGTTTTACAAAATAATTTCTACTTGGATATAGTGCCATATCAAACTATCATATGTCTGACAATGCAATGATAATGGTTTGTGTGGTTTCGAATGGAAGATGAGAGGAGGTAGCAAAATAAAAAATTTTAATGCTTGTAATGACATATGATTGAAAGCCATTTTTTCCAGACAGGATATAATATAGTTATCCTTTCTTCCTAAGGTATGTACAGTGAGGCTGTACAATGAGCAAAAGGTATGGAACAGAAAGGTTTAATGACACATTCGCTATAAGAATGATACATAGAAATGATTTTCCTTAGAAATTCAGCATTTTTTTTCCATTTAAAAACTTACAATTTCATGCACAGAGAAAAAAAATCCAACTTGGCAGAAACTTAGCAACAGTAATTTAATATTTTAGGGTACTTAAATAGCAATTAATAAGCACATTTCAGTGAAAAGATTAAGCTTCTTAAAGGAATATATAATAAAAACTGTTCCCATCTACTTATATAATTGTTGGAATTTACAAAGCCCCTTATATGCATTATTTCCTTTTAGTATGCAAAACAATCCTGTTGGATACTGTAACTAGAAGAAATTAAGGTGCAAAGGACCTAAGGGACTTGCTCAAATTTTTATTGCTGGTTAAGTGACAGAGCTGAGTCTGGAAAAAAAAAAAAAATCTTCTGAATCCATGTCTGGGGCATTTTTCCATGGCACTGTGCAACCCTCCCCAGCCTGTAAGAAATTTGCTCATGATGAATGAAGTATCTATACTATAGGGGAATAATTATTTTTAATGTTTGTTCACTATTTTTTATTGGTATGAAACATACATAACAAAATGTATCATTCTAACCATTTTAGTATACAACACAGTGGCGTTAAGTATATTCACAATGCTGTTTAAAGATCACCAATAACCATTTCCAGCATTTTTCACTATCTCAAACAGAAATTCCATACCCATGAAACAGTAACTCCCCGTCCCCTACTCCCCCTACCCCCGGCCCCAGGTACTCTCCATTCTGCTTTTTGAATCTGCCTCTTCTAGATACGTCAAGTAAGTGGAATCATACAGTTTTCGTCCTTCTTAGTCTGGCTTATTTCAGTTAGCATAACATTTTCAGGGTTTATCCATACTGTATTTTATATGAGAATTTCATTCCTTTTTATGACTGAAAAATACAATATTGTATATATGTACACATCGCTTTTTGTTTATTACTCTATTGATAGACATTTGAGTTGTTTCCAGCTCTTGGCTGCTGTGAATAGTGGTGGTATGAACATCGGTGTGCAAATATCTGTTAGGGTCCCTGATTTCATCTCTTTGGGGTATCTACCTAGAAGTGGAATTGCTTCATCATAAAGTACTTTTGTTTAACTTTTTGAGGAACCACCATAGACAGGCAAATAATTTTATATTCCCCAATTGATCAATTTAACAGTCCTTCAGTTTGTAACTATTCTTACTTCAGGAGACTTGAAAGAACACATTATTTAATCTTAACAACAACCTATAAGACATAGAGTATTATTCCAATTTTATAGGACGCTGAGCCCTTAGAGATATCAAATACCCTACACAGTACAGGTTAAGTGTTCTAGTACAGTGTAGTCATTCATGCGCTCCTTCATCAGAATCTGACCAGGACGTGTGTGTCAGGAACTGTACTTGGCACTTAGGTTTAGAAGCAAAACAGATGTCTATCTTTGATTATAAGCACCAGTTAGCAAACACAGAGACCTAATCATATTGATCCATTTCCCTGCTATTGCCACTAGCTCACCCCACATCTTACAAACTCCCCAGCGTTTCGTTTCAGCAGAGTTGAGTTTAACCTCTCTCCTCTATTTAGAAAGTCTTGAGTTGTACAGACTTGAAAGTCTGTATGTTGTATCTTTTCTCTTTGACAGCAGTGGAGACCAATAAAACGCTAATAAGAAAAATATTTTAAACGCGAAATACTTAGAAGTAAATGAATGGGACATAGAGAAACAGAAGCGGAGAACTATTAAGAGAGATTTATCAGGGCTGGCCTCTCTGAGGAGGTGACATATGACTGGAGGCTTGAAGAATGAGAAAAATCCTATCAAGGGCCAGGGGAGAAAAGGACCCAAGGGAAGAGAAAGCACAAAGACACAAGTCAGAAAGACTCTGATGAATTCAGTAAAGCAAGAAGGCTGGTCCAGGGCTACTGCCATCACTCAGACAAGAAATAACAGCGTCCTAGACAACACTGCTTCAGGGTTAGACAGGTTCAGGACACGTTTTGGAAGCAGACTTTAGAGGAAAATCTTGAGTTCGATTTTAGATAAGATAGCATTTGGATGCTTGTGAGACAATCAACAAACACGTTCATGGGTGATTAAATGCTGCTTTACTGAGCAGTCCCAAAGAAAGGGCTTGCTGGGGATGTAAGTTTGGGAGTTGAGAGCATGCTGATGACAATAAAGCCATTGAAGAGGTGAGATCTGTTTTAGGAGTGGGTGTAGCAAGAGGGAGTAGAGGCTGATCCTAGGTATTCTAGAATTGTAGGGGTCAAGGGAAGAGAAGATAGCAAAATAGGTCAGATGTGGGTAGGAGACAGAACTTGAAACTAAGTAGCTCTGGTCAAGTTGTCAACAGGTTTGGTTTCTTCTGAGGCCACTTTTTTAACCTTGCAGATGGCTACTGTCTTGCTGTCTCTCCTCACGTGGTTGTCCCTCTGTGGTGTCTGAGTCCTAATCTCCTCTTCTGATAAGAACAACTGTTGTGGGGTGCCTGTGTGGCTCAGTGGGTTGGGGCCTCTGCCTTCGGATTGGGTCCTGATCCTGGAGTGCTGGGATCGAGCCCCGTGTCAGGCTCTCTGCTTGGCGGGGAGCCTGCTTCCCCTCCTCTCTCTCTGCCTGCCTCTCTGCCTCCTTGTGATCTCTGTCTGTCAAATAAATAAATAAAATCTTAAAAAAAAAAAAAAAGGAAAGAACACCTGTCATATTGGTTTAGGACCCACCAACATTTTCATCTTAACTTCCTTACCTCTTTGAAGACTCTCTCTGCCAATATAGTCACAAATATGAGGAACTGGGGTTTAGGGCTTCAACAGGTGAATTTTGGAGGAACACAATTATAACAACATTGAAGAATCTATTTAATCTTTGCAAACTGCCTCTGCAAAGTGGAATAGCACAGTTTCCAGCACATTGTAATAAGTCAGTTAGTTTTTAAATCATTTTTCACAGAGCTGATATTTAAAACACAGGTTTATTTCAATCGAAATTTGGTGATTTTTCTGATTGTGTCATGTTTCACCAAACATTTGTTAATTTAAATAAGTTTAATCGTCTTAATGCTTTAGCACATAACTTTATTTTTCCTCAGATGCTTAAGAGAGCATTTCAAAGGTTTAAGAACTTGATGATGAGAACATTTAATTCAAGATGTATAAATTCATCTTGATTTTTATATTTGTCTTCTCTCTCTTTTTAAACTCCCCAAATGCCAAATATGACACATGAACCAATTAATAAATATGTTATAAATGTGGTTGACAATGATGATTCCATGCATTTCATACCTTCAGGAAATACTTCAATAATTTAATAGCCTTCTGGAAATTAAAAAATGCATGAGAAAAGAGAAATCATTTCTGTTTTTCTTAGTAGCTGCTTAAATTATCTCACTCAATCTGTTTATTTTTTCTTCAGTCCTGACTGCTGAGACGAATTTGCAAGAACAAGTTGTAGCTGAGCATCCTGAACTACTTGATCTCCAAGTCCCACTGTCTGCTATCAGGAACTCAATTTTACCTGTCACAGTTCAAAATGAAGTGAAATGCACAAACAGACCTCTCTTGGTAATCACGACAAGCCTGTTTTTGTCTTAATGGCTTGGGCTTTTAGCTGAAATGCCATGGCTGTAGCTGGCTCAGGTCATAAGCTATAAAATCACGCTGGATTTCCAAGGAAGAAAAAGAGATTCAAAGAAATGAGAAGAGATAACCACAGGGCAAGTATGATTTGTGACAATTATGCTTTCCCAGTATTGCTGCTGCCAGCTCTCTTTTTTCACCCCCCTTCTCCAGGTTTTGTCTCTCTTAAAAATCCCTTTCTCTTTCTGTGTGAAACTCTATTTGAAATTACCTGTCAAAAAAATGGCATTTCCAGAAGCCATATTCAGGTTTTTAAGGCGTTTTATGTACCTCAAGATTTTACTGGAAGGAAAAACATGTCTCTCAAGTTAAAAAAAAAAAAAAAGAAGAAGAAGATGATAGCCTTTCCTTTCCTCATGAACTGTTCTGTTCATGGGCTAATTTACTTTTTCTTTTTTTGAGAAGGGGCTTTTAAGGGAGGGAACTTTGCAGTTTTCATTGTAGCAGCTTTGTTTGACAATCTGGTTCTTAGGTTACTGAAACAAAATGGTCATAAATCAGATATTTTAGGCACTTTCTGAGAAGAAACTAAGTCTGGGAAACGTTAAGGCTTCTGTTGTTTGGAGGCATGCTCTGTGCAAGGGGCAGATACTCAACTTTTTAGAAAAGTGAAATAAGAGTTTTGAATATTTCACACAAATAATTTATATTTTTTATTTTTAAATCTGGTACACTTTCATGACTTTTATTCTACTTTTCAGTGTACCTTTATTCTAACTGCTCAGGTTCCCTCAAAATTTAACGGGAAATGGGAATTAGTAAAGTAATTGTTTAGAGTTGCACACTCATAGTCTTTATTTTATTACTGAAGATTAAATGACACCAAGTAACTTCCCTGGAATTTAATTTAAGCTTTTTCATTTACAGAAGAAGAAATCACAACTCATTAGGTTTTGCAATATACGAGATCAATTTTATCTAATCCCTTTAAATTCATAAAACCAGCTTCATATGAATAGACTAATAC